CTGCTTTGGTCACTTGTAGAACGAGGTGCTGAAGGGTGAACAGTGTCTCTTCTCACCTCTTTGTCTTGATTCTTGATCTAGCTGTTCAAGTAGAAGCTAAAGGAACAGAGATTCAGTAGCTAAATCATATGCAAGGTGACTTGAAGACTCCTAGCACTAGAAGACTCCCAAAGCTATCAGGACTCAAGAAGAAATTGCGTTTTCCAATTATGCCCACTCAGGGACTTGTGCCTTCCCTCTCTGATGAGTTATCATGCAAATTTTTGCCATGCCTCAAATGAGTCCTGAAGATGCTGTGAAACAGCTGCCCCTTCCCACCTTATTCTAACAAGCCTGACTGAATCTAGACCTTGAGATTCTAACATTCTGGAGCTTTGGCCAGCAGGGAACATGCTATCCCAAATGATGTTATTAAATCAATGTGCCATTTCATCTGAATGGTAGGAGTAGTTCTAGCATAAAACAGATAAAAATTGACTTTCAAAGCAGTAGAAAAGCCATCTACACATTAAGTTAATCTCCCACAGGTATGCAGAAAACTGTAACTTCTTCAGGTTCCCCATCAGGATATCCGTCCCCAGATTTTCCAAACAGAACAGTTATTTAGTGCCTAAACATCCTTTGGATATGCTGATTCCGAGTTCTGTATCTTGGCCAGTTTTGCAGACACAGCTCTTCACTGCTAGTTCCTCACGTGCTATCCCTTACAGCCCTAGAAGCTTATCATGAAATGTTTGATGCAGACTACTATCCATCCTTTCTACATTCTTCTTCCTGAACATCTGCTATTGAACTCATGACCCACATCTAGCAATTAACCTGGTACCCAACACCATTAATTTACAAATATATCCCACAAAAGCTAAAACATCCATAAATACAGAGATCTAGTTGCTATTCTTTTTCCTTAAATCATCTAGAATAAGGAGATCAGATTGTCAGCGTATGTTCTCTCTCCTTTCTTTTTATGAAAAGAATGCAGAAACCAATCCTCAGGAATAAAAAAAAAACCAAACAAAATGTTTTTACATTGTAATTATTTTAAAGCACATCATAATTTAAAACCCCAACTCTAAGTGCAAAGGCAATGACCCAAAGTCCCTGCCCCTGCAAGGTCTTAAGCTCCACCCACAGAGTAGAAAGAAAAGAAAAAGGTGGAACTGAGACAGCAGGAAGCATCACTGCAATTTTCAGAAACCCTTAGAGCATTCTCTCTCCTGGTATTCCCAAGTCCTGTCACCTTGGCTCCATAAGCCTGTGCAGAAGCATCTACCATGCTGAGCAGAAGTATTAAACATGACTATCAGTATCTGCTGGGGTGGTGTAGCACCTTCATTTTACACATATTGCAGCAGGAGTAAGAGGGGTACTGGGGACACAGCTAGCTGTTCAGCCATGTCATTTCTTGGGTCCAGCACACAGTAGGTGCTTGGTCAGAAAGAACCACATCTACACACAGTCTAATTAACATTTGATTTGTTTGACACTGGATCTGCTCTAGTCCTGACCTCATTGAATTTTGGGGATAAGGGCAGAGTATCGGGTAAAACCTTCAGATTGGTGACAGCACTGCTGCTGCCAGCAGTCCTGCCAGACAAGACCTTTTAAAGAAGAGGTCCCCACAGGAGCTACTGTGTGCTTACCGGGAGCTAAGAAGCAGCTTCATTCCTGCACTTCTCCTAAAAGAAGCTGGGACATAGAAATCAAGCGTTGGAGGGATGAAGGCAGAGAGGAGTGGCAAAAATACGGATCCTGCCTGTTCTGCACACAAGCACTCATAGCATCATCAACTCTACCCCAGTGAGGTTCCTGCAGAGAGAACTGCATGGAGAAAAGTCATATAAAGACTGCAAAACAGCAATCCTTTCCCAGAAGCAGAGGACCTTGTGTCTTAGACTCCCAGGCAGAAATCCTTGCAGGACCACCTTCAGCAAGTCCCAACCTGCCACTGAGTGAAAAACCTTTCCATCCTAGCACTGCAGACCCAGAAAAGCAGCAGAAGTACTTCAGCATGAGCTGGATTAGGGCCTTCTTGCTGTGTGCTCGTCACAAAAGCACCTGCAGAATATGCCCTACCATGAACCTCCTTGCACTACAAGATCCCTACCTGGATTCATGAGGCTGGGGGGAAAACTTCTTCGTCCCCTGAATCTCAAGGAGAAATTAAGTATTAATTATCACCAAGCTCTGCATAAGGGCTTTTTAAATTCATGGGCACAATAGGACAGAGATCCTCTGCCATTCCTATCTGGATACTAGAAGGAACTAGAACAGGATTCTTTCCAAGACAGATTAATGATGCCCAGTCAGTCTCACAAGCAAACTGGACATATGCTGTGGCAATATCATGAAGCAGTAGACACTTCTATGTTCTTATTTCCAGGTTTCTCTTATCTTTGTCTCTGAAAAGAACAAAATTTTACTGAACAAGGAAACAGACATCTACCTAGCCTCACTAGAAGCAAGCTGCTGGCAACTTTCCCGGGAAGGGTGCAGAACCAACTGCTTGTCCCAAAAGCTGTTCTGAGCATGCTTCACTGGAGTGAATGACAGTGTCATATTTGTCACCAAAAAGTTGTGTCTAGATCAGACATGCTAAGCGTGGACACTAGGTTCTAGGGTATCCCCTCTGTCTTAAAGACGAAATGAGACTGGAAGCAACAGATTACAGGGCTCTACAGTTCACAAGTGCTTGCATTGGCACAATCAAATTTCATCTTCAAACACCGTATGTGGTGCAAATCCTGGCCTGTGAACAAAGTTGCCTTTACTTTGGATTTACAGAGACCTGAAATCCCAGTCTTGAGAATTACACAGTAGAAGGATGCCCAAGCTGAAACCAGGACACAGGCCAAGGGATCTTGTGCATCAAGTAGGATGCCTGGAGCTGAGAATGGCTTGGTCTGTCCCTAGCTAGATTTTCCAGTAGCTGGGACTTGTGATTCTTCCAGCAGGATTCACTCTGTTTCCCTACTGATAGGTAAACTACTAAGAGTAGTAGTCTGGCCTGGAACTGCTGGTTCAGTAGCAGTTAGGTGAGGTAGTTGCACCACCTGCTGTCTGCTGCGAAGCAAGTTACCAGTGTCTATTAGAACATCATTAAAGATGATCATTATTAACAAAAATTTTCTTCTTCAGAACCAGTTGGAATAATCTCCCCAGGGAAGTGGTAAATTCCCCAACACTGGACACTTCTAAGGTTCAGCTGGACAGGATGCTGGGCCACCTTGTCTAGACTCTGCTTTTGCCAGAAAAGGTTGGACCAGATGATCCCTGAGGTCTCTTTCAACCTGGTATTCTATGATTTTATGATTCAGCTTTTTACAACACATGCTCCTGATTAAAGTAATCAGGATAGACTTCATATCTGAAAACTATGAAGCAAGATCAACAGAGGGCCAGTCTAGTCAAAACGGTTCCGGTTCTCAAACAGAATATGAGAAGTTCACTTTAATACCCAGCTCCTCTCACAAGAAAGATCGGACTATTATCCCTTTGGGAAGCTCTCTCAAGTTATTTCCACTCCAAAAACTCCAAAAGCTAGCATCGAACAAAACTTTCAAAGAGGTGAAAATTCTGCCATGCAAAAAACCAGCCACCTGCCCAACACCACTCGTGGCTTAGTAGAAAGGAAAAAGACACATCTTAAATCCTGCACCATTCCCCTTTCCTGGACAAGGCTGCAGCACTAACTGATCCAATCCAATGGGGCAAAGAGATAAGCCACAATACTAAAAGCCTTCTTAGGATACGGTGTCTTGTTCATGCATGAAGGCAGACAAGTCAGTATGCTCTCTTGGCTGGCACAAATATGGCAGGTTGGAGGAAGATCCCCCTAGTCCTAGAGATCAAGGATCCTGTTCATGGGCAAGTATTTTGTGCGCCAGGCCTCAAAAATAATTGAGCATGCAGTAGCAAGGTCAGTGTGCGTCTAAAAGGAAAGAAATTCACAAGACAAATGATCTCTGCTTGATGAAGCATAGGTGCATAATGTGCAGACAAAAGGGAATCAGAAAAACAGTTTATTTAAAAAACAAAAAATCCCCCCCTCAAATACCCCCATACTTTCTGATAAGCTTATTGCTCAAGCTAGATCTCCTGTAATGCTGCTCTCTCTCCCCTTAGCCTGTAGGGCCAGAAGTACTCATGCATCCCTGTCCTTCCTCCAACCAGCATCATTTGGCTATGTTCAATTGGTCCCAAATACCAGCATTTAATTCTCTCCTCACTATGCACACAGAACATGGAGGTCACCAGGCACAAAGGCTCCTTCTCATTGGGACCAGTCTATGGATTTATATATAGTCCTCTGCTCCCACCAAGATGGGAGTTCCTACTTAGCAGAACTATAAAGAAAGTATAGGAAGGTATATCTACCTTCTTTTTTTAAGCCAAAGCCTAAACAATGCTAAAATCATCCCTGAACCACTCAGCCTGCAGTCCAGACATATTCACACTCATTCTACAGCTCATGGTCTACACTCTCAATATACAGCCTTCAGAATTCCCTAATAAGCTTTCTATAGCATTTCCCAGTCTCACCACGCCGTTCTACTTCCACTGAACCAGGGCTTGTCTTCCAAGTTAGCTCTCTGTGAATGGGATATTGCCTGTTTCTTGTGCAGCATCTACAGATCCGCACTGTAGCAGAACAGCAGGACTCTCTCACCAGGCCCTGGCTCTCCTTTGGGTGGTCACAGACAGAGGCTCTTGGTCCTTCCTCCTAGATAGCTGTCAGGCAGGTTTGGTAAGAACAGAGCAGGGGGCTTTGTGCTTCATGTTCAGTCAACGTTGTTGTGGAGTTTCAACATCCTCTTCCTCCCCATGTTCAGTGTGGCGCAGCAGCAGCTCCAGGTCAGGGTCGGAGCTGGCCTCTTCGTGTAGCTTCAGTGCTTTTTCACCTGCATGCAGACAGCCCATTTAGCAACAAACTCGCTAGAGTACCCATCAAACCTGGTGTTGGCAAGGAGCCGAAACTAGACACAGCTCCTAGTGGTGCTACGAGAATGCATACAGAGAAATAGGAAGGGATTTAAAACAGAATCACCTTTGGAATTCATGGCTTTGAGAATGACATGAAGGGAGATTCCTGACAGACAGACAGCAAAGCCCAGCCAGTTCAAGAGACTGAGGCGGTCTCCCAGCAAACGTGTGGCGAGGAATAAAATGCAGATTTCCTGTGGAAACAAAAAACATGACAAGTGGCAGGGCAGGACCTGAGGAAACATGCACGAGACGTTTTACAGCTCAAGCCTAGATCAAGATGCCAGGCTGCTAATTTCCATCAGCACATTCTTCCACGTGCAGAGAGTTCTAAAAACAGTTTCTAGAAACAGAATGACCTGTTAAACTGGGAGGTGGGATTTTAAGTCCTCTGACTGCATAGCTTGGCTACATGGGAATCCTGTGACTTCCAGATCAGACAAGTTTCACATGTCACCATTCAGCTCAAAAGTATGTGTGCCGGACTCCTCAAAGGAGGGGAGAATGTGCCAAACTAGGTTAAAGAGATAGCCCAAACCAGTGGTTTGTTCATATCTTTTAGTCTACCCCAGATCCCACCAAACTTCGGACTTCAACAAACTGGTGGAACAGCTACCAGTCTCTGCCCCTTGCTGTCAGGGACCAAGGCACTTTACTGCAGAGACTGCAAGGCAAAGCATATCAAGCTCCTGTGCAAGGAAAACAAAAATAACAGGAGATGACTTCTAAGGCTCGAAGGAAGTTCCCACCACATGAGGCCCATTAGGGATGACTCAGTACTTGCCTTCTAGTATTAGCACAGGAACCACGCCTTACCTTAAAAATGCCAGCAATGGAAAGGGTGAGGCTAGATGTTCTGGAAACCAAGAGGAACTCAGAAAAGCCTAGACCAAAGGCAAGAATTCCACCCAAGAACAGCTTCCCTACCAGAGTATTCCTGCTTCATGGAAATGGAAGAGCTTCTCTGATATGGACAAAGGCAGGCCTAGGAACAAGACAGTGAGTAGCAGAGTACCTTTCCCAACTCCCACTCACAATAAGATGGGGGTGGGCTGCTCACATTCCAATATCAGGAGGATGTGGAGCCAGTTCTTCATAGCCCTTACTTCCACAAATATGGCAGGCTACTATTCCTATGCACTCTTTAGTGTTCTGCCAGCATAAGGTGTATCTGGGTCCTTATAATTCCAGGTCTCTAACTACTTTGTAAAGTTCATAGCCGTTCACTTATCTAAATGAATCATCTCAGACAAAAAAACTACTAAGCAATCTCCCCAACCACTCTATAAAGCTATCCCTGCTTTCTCTAATTAACTCACGCACCCTCAAACACCGCAAAGAGTGGGAAGAGCCCCAGGAACATGAGCGGCTGCAGGTGAAACATGATATCAATGGGGTTCTGGAGCCCTGAAAGAGGAGAATTAATAACAGACCAGGTAGCAATAAGCCAGGGAACAACATAGCCCCTAGAGCCTTTATTAGTACCATTCCTAGACATACACCTTATTTATAATGCCCACGCCTGTGCTGCTGCAGAGGCCAAGCCACCTTCATTACCCATCAACAGATAACCCCTGCCCCAGGTTTCAAACACTGTCCCTTACACAAGATGCTTTGTTTCTGCAGCAAAGGCTACCACCTCCTTATTGCCCTCCCCGTTACCAGCCCCACGACCCACTTCCTAACGCCCTACATACCCAGTTCAGCCTTTTGCATAAGTATCTGCGTGAGAGTCCAGCGAATACCCCCAAGGAAAGAGGCACACAGCACCAGCATGAAGCCCTGTGCGTTGAACTGTGTGGACTTGTAGGTGAACATGAAGAGCCCCCCAGCGATGAGCAGAATCACCAGCAGCAATGCCACCCTCTGAATGAGAGCAAACACAAAGTCACTACAGACTCCTGCAGCTAAACAGAGACAGACACCTCCTCTCTTTCAGATTCATCCACGTAATTGCATTCTTCTTCTACTTTTATGTTTCTTGTACACATACTGCCTATTTCCCTAGGCCTGACCTTCTCCCTCCCTAAAGCATTGCGTGGGACCCTTACCACTTCCTCCAGCTTGAAGAGCAGTGAAAAAAGCAGGATGAAGAGAATGGCAGAGGATTTAGTCATCGTGTAGCTGTAAGGACCAAAATACACTGTCAGTCTCCACCAATGTAGTCCTTCCCAGCAAAGTACTATTAGAAACCAGATCACCCACTTCTACACTGCTACCAGCAAGCTATCATAGACCCTGTATGCCAACCCCACCGAGCCATACACCCATTCAAGAAACTGACCCTGACAAAGCACTTTCTAAACCCCACCACAGGGCTCCCAGGGAAGATGATGTTTGTACTCACAGGGAGACAGTGACGTATAGGAAGCTCCAGTTACTCAGCCCAATATCCAAGGAAGTTGACAGAGCTACAGAATCAAAGAAAAAAATCCTGAAGTTAACTGTCTTCCACTACATAAAAAACAAAACAAAACAAGAACCCTGCTACTTGACCACGAACATAGAGAGCAAAGCAAACCCAGAAAAAAACTCAAACGTTTTCCTCAGGTTAACTCTTCAGTACCAACATAGCTCAGATACCCTCAGCTTTTTATGTTTCTGTCCTGTTCCCTGTGATTTAAGTTAGGCTTAGCACCACACTCACTGAACATACACTACGCAAAAGTGCAGAAATAATCCTTGCCCTCCCTGTGACTGAAAACCATCGCAGATTTGCACAAAGTCTTTTTTGAATGTATCAGAGCATGGTAATAGGTATGAGGGCCACTGCAAGAAGCCTGAAGAAGCAAGTCTGGCAACAATCCCCAGCACGCACCCTTAAACCTGGTGCGGCTCTTGTTGCAGTCTATTCTCCCTTGCATATAAGCTTCCTACCACAGGAAACAGTTTTACTGATCCAGTGGCATGCTATGCTGAAAGGTAATATCGCTACAGATGTGGAGAAAGGATTTTTCAAGAAACCATACGGCACATTATGTAAGGTATTGCAAACCTTGCCAGAGATCTTAGACCAGATGCTGCTTTGTGGGAGACAGTATGACGATGACTGAACCAACATAACATAAAGCCAAAGAACCGCTGAAGTAGCTAGAGTTCTGTGCTCTGAGTAGGAGCTTCACTCCTTGGTCTCAGCTACAACAGTTTTGTGTGTCACGTAAGATGAACTTCCGTATCATAAAGACCAAGTTCCAACCAGAGCAAGCTCCTGAAATAACATAAACGCATAGCTTGATACCAACGTTAAACAGAAAAAATAACTTGCGGGACAACTCATGGAGGTACTGCACAAGACCCTCATTGTACGTTCTCATATGCCAGTGGCCTCTCCATGTTCTAACTAGTTTTTGTTACGACCAATAAAAATAACTAAAGCTTTAAGTAACACCTACACCTACCCTGAACCTGGTAAGGAAGCGCACGGGACGCCCGCAGTGCTGGGCACCCGCGGGGGCGATGCTTGCCGCTTCCCCCGTACCCCAAGGCAGGCGGCAGACGTCGCGCTTGCTCCGGGCGCTGCAACGCGCCCGGCCCCGAAGACCCCCCAGGACCCCGGTCCGCGCCCCGCGCCCCAACGCGTCCCCGGAAGAGGCCCGAGACGGCGCCACGACGGCCAAAGCGGCACCAGCACCCGGGAGCAACCGCTCGGCGCCCCGCCCC